GTGTGTGTGTGTGAGTGTGTTTGTGTGTGAGTGTGTTTGTGTGTGTGTGTGTGCGTGTGTGCGTTTATGTGTGTAGATACAATACTACAGCGAACCAAACACCACATTCGGCACCCAAAAACGTTATCAAATAACAATACCTTGTGAATACAAAATCAAAGTTCTCGCTCTGATGACGAACAGCGTCCGCAATTGCTTTGTAATCATCTTCAACTATACTAACGTTGCACAACCTTAATCCCGATTCCGTGCAGAATTTACCCAGCACGTAAATATTTTCGTCTTTGAACTTCCCAGAGAGTATTTCATTTCCTATAATCACAACTCCTGCAGTTTTTCTCATGGTGTTATTAGTTTTGTTTGTATTCGATCCTTTCTGTAACTCAATACCAGACCCCGGCAAATGGCGCCTTTGTTCATGTGCCCTTGTGTGCGTGTGAAAGTATGTCTTATGTCGGCGTTTGGACACAGCATGGATAAAAGGCGTACTATACTTTGTCGTCCTTAAATTCGGCCCTATCTTGGTACTCCAGATCGACCCAACTCGCGTCAAACTAGTAAGCTTAATCATCATAGATATAAATATAAGCAGACACCTCTCCTGTCTGCAACATTTATATATATATTTATTTATTTATAACATAATAAATGGCATATATTTATTGTCGCATAGTTGATGTTTATAATATGATTTACTTTTAGGATTCTTCATATGATTTACTGATTTCAAAATCTGAAACTCAAATGGTCTCTGTGAGAGTGATGAGACTCTGTCTCTGACTCTCTGTATTCGTCGTGATATTTTAATAAATATGGGGGTTTTCAGTTTTAAGTTTTGGACTTTTGATATTTTGTTTGTTTTAAAAAACAAAAACAAAAAAATCAATTGGGCCAGGGCCAGGTTATGAAAAGGCACAAGCCCTTGCCCCTTAGCCCAGGCCACAAGTCCCCACAACACAACACAAAAGAAGTACTCGCGGCGTCAAATGCAACACAACAAAAGAGTCCTCGCCACCCGCCGCAGAAAAAAATCTGTCGCGGATAACGTCGCGGGGTGTGGTGGGGGGGGGGGGGAAGTTATTTTGGTCACAGAACGGTACGTCAATAAGAATATA